TCGTTCCTGGGGCTGTCTCCCCGTGGACTGAGGCCCTGGTGCCGCAGGGACAGCGTGGAGATGGAAGAGGCAGAGGGAGGGAGGGACGGGAGAGGGAGACAAGCGTCCAGCCTGGTGCCCAACCCCTCGGTGGGTTCTTGAACATGAAGAAAAGATTCTGGGCGCCTCTGGTTGCTAAGGGGAAATCTGCCGCCTTCCCCACAGGAAACACACTGCTGTTTTTATTACTATACCAATAATCCATGCTGATGTTCATCGTTTCTTCTAGACCAAGGGTTGGCAAACCTTTTCTGTAAAGGGCCTAAATAATTTATGTCGTGTGGGTCACGGACGCGCTCTGTGGCGTTTGCTTCTGTTTGGCTTTAACACCCTTTGAAAACGCAAAAGCCCGTCTCAGCTCCTGTGCAACGACAGGCCGCGCCGGGCCAGCCCCCATTCGGGCGGGTCCAGAAAGACACAGATAAGACAGTGAGAACCACCTCCCACCCTCCCCCCATGGAGGTTGTGGTGTGTGTCCCTCTGGACTCTCTGAGGGTCGTGCGAATTATGTACACTTTGCGAAAGTAAAATTATATCGTACCTACTGTTTAGTAATTGACTTTGTTCATTTAACAAGATAATGTGGCCCTCGCTCCAGGGCACCGAACGTGGATCTAGGTCATCATTTTTTGGGGTGCACAGCGCTGCATTGTATGAGCCTAACGATTTCTTTGGCGTATTTATTCAGGGCGGGTGCGTAAACAGCCCTCATCCGGGTTGTTCACAAAGGGGCACTGGGTACCGGGCAGACACGAAGAAGGGCTTCTTGCTGATGGTTTCATCGTGTGTTGATTTTCGTTCACTTCTCTGCAGCCAGGGCTCGGAGAAGCAGATGCGGCTGGCGGAGCTCGGACCCCCAGGCCGAGAGGGCACGCACGCGGTAGGACTGGACGGCAGCGCCGGGAGCCTGGTGCAGGGACACAGCCGCTCGCAGCCACAGCACTGACTGCACCCGCCCCCGGACAGGCGCACTGCACCGGCGCAGCCGCTGTGTAGAAAGTCCCAGGGGCGCAGCTCCTCCCTTCCCAGGTGGCTGGTGGGCGTCCTGGCAGACGTGGCCGTGCAGGTTATTAGGAGACTTCCACACAGCCAAGGGTACCCCAGTGATTGTAGGGAGGCCAGGGCGGCAGGGGGCCTTGTGCATGAATGTAACACACAACTACAGAGTCAGGCTATGTGCCGCCTCGCTTAGGTCTCACGGCCGCCCAGTGAGAGCGCCCCCACTTTGTAGGAAAGAGACTTAAAGCACAGAGCAGTCGAGGTACCTACCCAGGGTCACACAGTCAAGGCGTGGGAAACCCCAGACGCGTCTCGCCTGACTCAGAGGCCTGCACTCTGTCCCACAGTGGGACGAGGCCTGTTCCCCGCTGTGCAAACAGCAAGACCCCTGGGAGGGGGCAGCTGCAGTGAAGGGGGACAGCCCTGGGCCAGAGCGTGGGGACCTGTCTAGACTCCACCTGCCTCCCGGAAGTGGGAGAGCGTGGGGAAGCCTCTGCTCACCTGTACTGTCGTCTATCCAGGGGGGGGCCTCACACCCCGCCCCCCGGTGCACCTGGGCAGGTGGGAGGCGCAGACAAGGGGGTAGCCCCAAACACATTCAGGGTCATGTGATGCATTGGCTGAGCCAACAACTATGGGGGACATCGTGGAGAGGTGGCACCGAGGCCAGCAGCGAGAAAAGGGCACTGCCAGCTAAGACTGGCTCCTGTTGCTCCAGGGACGGGGGCCCTGAACTTTCGAGACCCCTCCCTCCCTCTCTGTCCCCTGCCCTGCCCTGGGCCAGACCCTCTCCCTGCCTCCCCTGGACTGTTGTGACAGCCTCCAAATGGGCTTCCTGCCACCTGTCTCCACCCTCTGTCCATCGTCCCCACCCTGCCACCAGTATCACTGCCCTAAAAACTGAACCGGGTCACGTCACCGTCCTGTCTCAGACCCTTCTGTGGTCCCCGCTCTCCTGAGGTGCGCTGCTTGGTGCGGCAGACAGCCCTCGACTGCCCCGACCTCCCCGCCCCCTGAGCTCATCACAGAAGCTGATCCTGCTACTCTACATGTGCCTCCGGGCCTTTGCACAGGCTGCTCCGTCAGACGGATGCTGTTCCCACTGATGGGTATGTTCCCTCCCGTTTGCCGGCATCTTCCAGTACATCCTTCAAGAGGACACTTCCAGCGTCACCCTCCCTGACCTCCAAGACGACAGTGGGGTGCTCCCTGCTCAGTGCACCCACGTGACCTTGCACAGACAGTCCAGTGCATGGGGACATCCGAGTGCCCCTTCCCTGGCGCCCACATGGGAGCCTGGCCCCGAGTCAGCCTTCAGCCAGCGGCGGCTGAGCTAAGAACCAGGTCGAATCCAGGGGTGGCTGACGGGCGCACGGCTGACTCCGCTTACCGGCTGCCCGCCCGGGGTCCCGGCCCACAGGGCGGCCGGGGTGGAGCCGGGGTGCCAGTGGGAACCACGCAGCCAGGCAAGAGGGAGCTTGTCTGAGAACCGAGCCGAGGGGTGACTTCACTGTTGACTCAGCCTCCCAAGCACGAAGGTGGGGACGGCCCTCCTAGGGCGGGGCGGCACCTGGGGCAGATCTAACAGGCACGGTGCATGCTGCATGTGTGGGGCCGGAGAGCCAGGCGATGAGTCAGGGGAGGGAGCCGCCCTGCCCCGCAAAGGGAGCAGCTGCCTCTCACAGGCCCCTGCTAATCACATCACACTCATCGAGAGAAAAGGAAAAAAGAAAAAGAAAAGTGGGAGGGAAAAAGCCCGAATGCCATAGCTGGCACTTTTTCTTGGAGGAAATGATCACTCGGAAAGAATGATGACACCGTCCCTGGTATGAGCCAAAAAAACAAGAGCCCCAGGTGTGGGCCAGGTGGAGGCCCCAGAGCCGGCCCACGCCTCTGGTACCAAGGACACTGCCCGGCCTCTGAGCCCAGCCCTGTGCTCCCCGGTCAGCCACACCCCGAACAGGCCTGCTCCCCCCAAGGCCAGAGTTGGGGGCACTGGTGACTCCTCCGACACCTCTGAGGCGGGATTTTGGCTTTCCCACCAAATTACCTGAAAACGAGGTTCCAGGCCGCTGCCTCTCCCTGAGTCCCCGCAGTGGTCTGGCCCTGTCCAGTGCCTCCGAAACACACGGCCTGGGGAGGTGACAGCAGACCTCCGCGGTGGGTCCTGGTGACCCCATGTTACAGGTGGGGAACTGAGACGGAGGAGGAAGAGGGGGACTTGGGGCTACATCGCTAGGGAGCGGCCGGGCAGGACACAGCCCCCTTTTGGACAGAGGGTCCCCACCTGTTGTCGCTCCCAGGCGGTGGCTGCTGCTCTGAGCCCCTCGCAGAGCCTGCAGCGAGGACACAGGCCCGGGCAGGTGCTGTCGTCACGGGAGGGGGGGGGTGACGGCTGGGCTGTGACACAGCTGGGAGGCGGGCAGGGTCTGCACCCCCGACCCAGACTCACACTGGGGAAGCCCCTGCCCTCTACGGCAGCGCAGAGGCCTGCGGGCGCCCAGGGCCTGGGGTCCACTCTGCCTCCTGCCGGAGGGTCCCACGGGGACAGGAAGCTCCTCCGGCGCAGCCGCCCCCGCCCCAGGAGGGAGCCGGCACTAACATCGGCCCGCCCGCTGAACCGACCCGAAGGAGGCCTTCCTGCCTGCGGGGCCCGCGGTACGGGTGGAACTGTGTTCCCAGAAGACGTGTTGATGCCCTAACCCTCAGCGCCTCCGAACATGACCCTCTCTGGAAACCCAGCCTTTACAGAGGTGACCCAGTGGGGCGCAGCCACGAGGCTGGGCCCCAATGGAACATGACCGACGTTCCTGTGAAAGCCACAGAGACAGACGCGCTCAGAGGGAAGGAGGTGTGCGGACCGCGGGGCGGGCGGGCAGCCAGCAAACGGGGAGCTGGAGGCGAGCGTGGGGCCGACTCCCCCGCGGCGTCCCCGAGGAAACCGGCCCTGCGGACGCGCCCGGCCTGCAGAACCAGGACAGCGCGTGTCTGTGATGTGACGCCACCCAGCCGGTGGCCGTGGTCCCAGCAGCCGAGCACACGGCCGCAGCACGCTGCCGGACGGGACCTGCGCTCCAATGTGCCTGCGCTTCCTGTGATGGTCCCCATTCGCCACCCTGAACTTCTGCACGACTTTGGGACCAGGGGCCCCCCGTTCTCATTGCTCACTGGGCCCCACCCATTAGGTGGCGGCCCCTGCTCACACCTCCCTGCAGCTCCCCGCCACAGCCCACGAACCTCCCTGGCAGCCGGGGCCTGGCTCAGCACCAGGCTGAGAACTAGGGGACCCAAGCCAGGAGCAGTGGGTCCCAGGGCAGGGGCCTCCTGGGCCTGCTGCCACCTCGTTTCCCATGGACCTGCTCAGGACAGGACGCCCCCATGTGGCCCTTAAATCAGGACTCCCGGGTCCCCTTGCCAACCCCAGATCCTCCCGCTGCGAGCCAAAAGCAAGCTGAACATTAGATTTTATGAAGCAGGGGGTCACCCGGGCCCAAGAGCCGGCCACCACCCCAACCCCCTTGCTAAAGAACTGCGACCCCTCTCCACTTCGTGCTAACTCAGGTCCCGTGGGCCAGCCCTGCCAGGCCCCTCCCCGGAGCTCTGCCCAGGATACTCCAGCCAGGCCTTCCAGGAGCTCACCGCCGTGCAAGCATCCATTTCTATTCGTTTCTTTAAAAGACACGCACTTCTGGGAAGCACGTCCCCTCATGCAGGAGGAGTTGCCCCTCGCGCCCAGCGTGGGATGAGCTGGATCCCCTCCCTTCACCTGGTGGCCAGGGAGGCGAGGGGGGAAGGACAAGGGGCCTGTTTCTGTGGGACGCTGAGGTCGGGCCCAAAGCTGTGTCCGAGATAATCGCATTAATCCATGAAAGGAAGCCGGGAGACACCGAGGGATCAAGTACAGCCAGGGTCATCGAGGGTCACAGATAATCCCCAGATCTGACTTGAGCTCCCAGTTTCACGGTCTCGCAACTTGTCAGCCACGTAGTCTGCTGAGAATTCCCCTTCTCACCTCGCCTGCACCGGGGACCTGGGGCCGCAGCTCCGCGAGGAGGTGAGGGGCAGGATGGAGGGGAAGGGGTGGGGATGATGGGGTGACCTGGGGGGAGGTAGCCTGAGAACAAGCCCACCCCCGCTCCCCGAGGTCCCTTGGCCCAGACTTTCCTCCCTCCCCACCCCCATCCAGTCTCTCCCCCCAGGCACCCCTGAAAATTCCAGCGTGGATTGCCTTTGCCCACACGCGCCCCGTCTGCTTTCCTGATGCATTTTTTCACTGAACACATTTTAACTAGATTATTCCATGCGTCCATCTTTCTTCCCGGCCAGATGAAGCATTCCTTCAAGCCAGAGCCTTCTTGACAGAAGGACTGCTGCAGAGAAGGAGGTGGGCGCTGAATCTTCCTGGGACAGCTCAGGGTAAGGAGGCAAGAAGGGGAACTGGGAAACCAGGGCGGAGGGCCAGTAAGGGCTGGCGGGGGTCACACTAGGAGGTCACCCTCGATCCCAAGAACACGGGCAGGCATTGCGTTTGTGGACGAGGAAAAGGAATGAAAGGATTGGCGAAGCAGAGGAAGATCTCGGGGCCCAGTGGAGACACAAGCCCACACCCGTTTGCTGGTGCTGAGAGAGTTTGCAAGGGCAGAGAGCAGGCAAAGGACTTGCCCTCTTCCTTTCACCAGAATCTCAGCCAATTGTCACGGACGCAGAACCCTCGGGGAGCAACAGTCAGATTGTGACATTTATTGGAAAACCCCTGTGGCTCTTTGGGGCCAGTTCCTGGCGTGGACCCCATGCAGGCAACCAGGGAAAGAACGGATGTGCCCAGCCCGGAAGAGCCCAGACCAATCAGAGAACCAGGCAGCCGTGGGCAGCTTGCCTGGAACAAGTTCCGGTGAATCTCAAGAAATTAAGCTAACCCGAGGGGTTGGGCAGGGCCACCTGGGGACACGCGGAGAGATTCTGCATAGTCCGATGAGATAATGCAGTTCTGCTTCAGTATCAAAGCTGTGCACGGGGATTTTGGAAACTACAGTGCAGGAGTGATGCCGCCACCCCTTTCCAAGGCGATTGCTGTTTTATTTGGGTGTGTTTCCTGCCAGGTATGGTTTTCTGCACAAGGGAGAGGAGAGGCAAGGGGGCCCCAGGAAGGAAGAGGCTTATCCTTACGCCCCACATGCTTCACGCCAAGGAGCAGGAATGTGACCCTTGCCTTGCTGGCTGCAGAGCTGCACCTGGTCTCTGTGCATTTTTACGGGCCCACGGCACACCTGTGCAGGTGTGTGCTATCTTTATGGGGGACTCGGGGACTCCAAGGAGGCGGCGGAGGGTCTTCTAAGATGTCCAGGGCAAATGAGCAGTGAGCACGGTCTCTGTGAGGGTCAGAATGCAACAACCCCTACCTCCCCATTCATTCATTATCTACTCAGTGGGTCTGTCAGTCGGTCAGCAAACCTTCGGAGGATCCAGAGAAAATGAAGACAGAGTCCCTGCCCAGTGGGAGCTCTTGTTTTAGGGAAGGACACAAACCACCAGAGCCAGTGACAGCTGGGCATGCCAAAGGCATGTGGCAGACACTTGAAGGGAGTTCCCAGGAATGGGGACTCGGCCTCCCTGACCCCTGCCCAGACGCAGGGGATCCTGGAAGGCCTCAGACCGAGGACTCCTAAGGACACTCAGTAATTGTGTCTCTCCCACCTGCCCAGGAATATCACAGCGAGGCATTCTCCCGAAAGTTCCCCCAGGGTGGAAGGACTGCCTGAGAGCTGAGACCGTGTCTCCCCAGCATGAAACCCATCACTTACCGAGGAAGGTGGAGACGAAAACACTCTGCAAACTGGGAAACCCTGGGTGGAGCTGGGAGCAGAGACCCCCACCCCTGCACTGGGGGCCTCCTGAGTACAAGGCTGTGCCTCCGCCATCGGACTGGGGGTTCGCTGAGTCAGGGGCTCGGCCTCTCCCATCAGACCAGAGGCTCCCGTTCGAACGCCGTGGTCCCCGAAGGTCCTGCACTCAGGGTGGCTCCGTGCACCCTCTTGCCTCACGTACACGGGTGCTGACGGACCATTCACCTTCAGCATCAAGGCTTAGCTGACTCAGCTGAACCTTTTCTGCTTCTTAGAAAGACAACCCAGCTAGCCCCTGACATCTGAAATAATATCTTTAACCATTTATTAACCCTCTGACTATTTATACATAGTGTACAAAGTAACTTTGACTTAAATTTATACTAGAGTGTAAATGACTTCACAAGAAGATTTTACAAACTTGGAGTTGGAAGGGAAGGTGGTGCTCTGGTTCTCGTGCCTGGCTGCACATGGGATTACCCGGAGAGCTTTAAAAAATACCCGGGCCCAGGCCCCGCCTCCGGCCCATTCCGTCAGCACCCACAGGGCGAGCGCCAGGCACCCATACTCTCTAAACTCCCAGGTGATTCTGCTGTGCCAGCCAAGCCCCGACAGTGTTCTAGAACAGCCTCCTCAGCACAGGAGCCACCAGCGTTTCTTCGCTCCACAGCCACGCAGAAAGTGCCTCGTTCGTGCCCGAGACCAGGATTGTCTCAGTCTCTTCCATAACTCTGTTGCTCCTCCGACCTTTTTTCTGGATACTCCCAGTGATGGGGAACTCACTCCCTCACAGGGCAGATCTTTCCCCACAATCTGGTTTTTAGGTGGTCTGTAGGGAGGGGAGACGGGCTGGGACGGGGGCTCTGAGACGCACTGGGTCCCACCCTGTGCCAGCAATAGCATGGGATACGCCGGACACTGTTTCCTTGAAATGTGACACCCCCGCCCAGCGAGGCCGGGAGCGCACACGCAGCATTGCAGATGAGGAAGCTGAGGCTCAGAGAAGTGAGGAGGCTGATCCGGGACCACTCAGCTTGTTGGTGGTCTTGGATCAGAGCATCGGTTCGTTGGCAGGTTGGGGCTGGCGGGTGGGGTGGGCACATAGGCCAGAGATGATGTCCGAGTGTCCAGAAAGACCTCCCAGGTCTCCCACCAGCTTCTTAACCCCCACATTCCAGATGTATCCGCCCCCCCGCCACCATTTTCCTTTATGTCTGTCAGCGTTGGGAGACAATGACAAACTCATTGATCCAAAGTATTGGGGCCCTTCTACAAGGTGCACTCACACGAATAAGGACCCCAGATGGGCTGGGCAGGGCAGGGCAGTGATCACCTGAAGGAGTGGCTACCGGTGGAGACACTGGGGGTCCCACCCTGGACGTGCATCCCCGGCGTCCCCGCTGTGCAGCTCAGAGGGGAGCCCCTCCCTCTCCAGTCTCCAAGTGGGCCCGTCTCTGTGGCCGTACCCACCCGCACCTGAGTCTCGAGTGCCGGGGGCTTTCCCCCTGTAGCCCCAGCCCTCACCACCTCCCGGCGGATTCCGGACGGTAACGTTCCCTTTACCAACAGAAACGGCGCGGACGAGTGTGTCTCCAGGGCTGAGATCCATCCGCTAGAGCAATGTTTTCCAACGTGCAGGGTGTTACCCATTAATAGGGTGCGAAATCGGTTTGGGGGACCATGAACAACATTTTTAAAATACAATAAGGTAAAAAAGCATAGAGGGAAGTCTGGCTTCCAGAAAACTTCCAATTCAGGTGTGTGTTGCAGGCGAGGCGTGATGGGAACATCTCTTCCCGGTGCGGTCCAGTTCAGCGGCCCCCTCGCCGTTTGCCGTGGCGGGGGCGGGCGGGGGGGGGGCTCCCCAGGGAGAGCCCTGCAGCGAGACCTCGGAGGCCAGCCCTGCCCACAAAACCGGGCCCCCGAAGCGAGCCGCAGCTCCGGGCCGCGTTTTCCTCCTTTGGGACACAGCACGCGGGCACGCCGGTTTCACTGCACTTCGCTTTGTTGAACTTCACAGGTGTTGCATGTTTTACAAACGGAAGGCAAGACCCTCCGCTGGCAAAAAGGCCTGGACTCCATTTGTGGCGACAGCCGCCTGATCGCGGGGGTCTGGACCCGAACCCGCAGCATCTCCGAGGTCTGCCTCTCCTGTCCCGGATCAGCGCCGTCCAACAGAAATGGAACACGAGTCATAAATGCCCCAGCGGCCACACACAAAGGCCAAAACTAACAGGAGAAATTAACGTTCATAAAATGGTATTTAACCCAATATGAATAGAGTATCATCGGCTCAGCATGGAGCCGATATAAAAAAGTGTTCATGAGGTTTCACATTCTCTGTACCCAGTCATTGACGTGCGTAAGTATTTTACACCCCGGGCCCCTCTCAGGTGAAGCTAGCTGCCTGCCCCCGGGTTCCGTGGCCACAGAGTCACCAGCTACCATACTGGACGGTGCACACCATCGGTCAACTCTAGGGTCTCCTCTAAAACGGTGTGGCCATGCTGGACTCCTCACACGTTTACCTCTTGTTGATTGATCCCCACGGCCCTGGCTGCTTCCGGTTGCAGAAAAGCATTCAGGGGACACAGGGAGGGAGTCACTTCAAGTGGCAAAAACATGGGCCGCTGATTCTGGAATCACACAGACCTGGCTGACTCAGCCACGTGCTGTACACAAGTCATCCGCCCTCTCTGCACCTCGGTCGTGCCGCCCGTAAAATGGGAACGATGACGACAGCTAACCTCAGGTAGCATTTACCTTGGGCTGGGCATTGTCGTGTGAAGCCTTTCATGTGTATTAACTCCTCTTTCGGGAGTCTAGGAAGCAGCATCCTAACTTTATAGGAGGAGAGCTGAGGCACAGAGAGGTTAAGTAACTTGCCCAAGGTCACACAGCTAGTATATGGCATTGCTAGGATTCGAACCTGGGCCACCCGGCTCCAGAGTCCCTGGGCTGAACCATTGGCCCACACTGCTGGCCTCCTGGGTCGGGGTGGGGGGGGGCGTGAGGATGAAGCACAGGACTGCCCTGGCAATGCCTAGTAGACAGCAGGCATAGAATGAACTGCTGTTGTTCCTGCCCTCGTCTGGGGCAGAGCCCCTGGGTGACCTCCAAACGCCCGGAGCGCAGCTGGGTCACGACTGTCTGAGAGGCAGCCCCTTCTGAGCTTTCCTTGTGCCGCCCCCACTGGAGGCTGCGAAGGCGTCTTCCTCATAGCTCAGGCACGGAGGCCTCCGAAGGTGGGTGATTCAGGGCCTGAAGTGCCCCGGGCAGCGGCGGCTCTGGGGGTGGTGGGTGGGCCGAGGGGACGGCCAGCGTGAGAAAGGCGGCCCACCGGTTTCAAGGGCTGAGCTGGAACAGAGCCTTTTCTGAAAGTCTCGTGTGGGACTCTGATACGTGAATCAGATCCAAGCAGAGATGCCGTGGTCAAAGCAGGAAAAGGGGCCTGGACCTCGCCCTCCAGTCCCTTCCCCTCCCAAGGGGACCCCAGGAGCCCCCGTTTCCTCCCCAGCTCTGGCAGCCCAGGCCACCCAAGCCAACACCAGCCCAGCGCAGCTCCCAGCACAGCCCAGGCCGGTTGAACCGCCCAGGTAATGCCGAGGGGACCCAGACAGCAACATGAGGTGGCCCCCAGGGGTCTCAGGGTACAAAGGGGGGACTGGGGATCTGTGAACCCCGCTCCCACCATCGCCCCAGGCCCTGCCCCTGACCATGACCTCACGCTGAGAGGGAACAGCAAGCATGGGCCCGGCCCCGTCACAGCCTGCATTGCTGCAGGTGGCTTGGCCAGGAGCCAGGTAGGGGGGAGAGGACGACAGCTGGGAACAGAGCCACCTTTGACTCCGGAGGACAATGCCCTCCCAGTGTCGCTGATGGACGGCCCTCAGCCCCTTCACCACTGCCCAGCCCCCAGGAACAGGTTAGGCCATGGCTGGGTAGTTTCAAAATAGCGCTGAGGGCGTGGGCAGTGCTGGCGGCTCCCAGTTCGTGCAGCGTTTTCCTGCCTTTTCTCCCCTCGGCTTCGCACCGCGATCACGAGAGGCAGCGAGACAAGGGAGCGGCTCCCCTGTCCGAGCTGGCACTGACGGAGCCCCTGCCCTGTGCTGACCGCCCCCCACACATTCACCTGTGTCCCCCTCACAACAGCACTAGGAGGGGGCCACCACTGTGTCCCTGTCCTCGAAGAGGACACAGAGGCCCAGAGAGGTGAGCCCAAGCCACTCAGCTAGAAGAGCCCGAGCCCGGACTCGAACCCTGGTCTGCAATCAAAACCACCGGAGGAGCGGTTGACTCCGCCGGAGCTGGCGGGTCGTCATCATCACACCCTGGAAGGGCAGCCCCGGAGAGAGGGGCTGCATGGGAGTTCTGAGGATGGGACGGTGTCTAATGTGTGGCACGCGGGGCCGAGGGACAGAGCAAGGGGCAGCCTGGTGAGGTGCGGGTGTTCGGGCGCCAGGGGGCCAGTGGTCACTGGGCACCATGTGACGGGGGCCCCGCGCTGCGGAGGGATGGGAAGACGTGGCCTTGGTGCTGGGATTTCAAATGCCACCGAACAGGCCCCCCCGTGTCCAGTCTCACCCTCCCGACCCGCTCTGCACCCGCAGACTCGCTGAGCTTCCCAAAGCCTCCCTCCCTCCCCGTCGCCCCCTGTGTCCGTCTTTGGATGGCTCGCCAGCTGCGCCTGTTCCTAGCACTGAGCACCACCTGACCCAACACGCAGTGGCCTGAAACGACCACCTGACATGCTCGGAGTCTGTGGGTCAGGATGAGGCAGGGCGCACTGGGGATGGCTGGGTGGCTTGGGGCGTGGGGCTGCGGGCACCCAGAACGGCCTTGCTCCTGTGTCTGGCCGCCAGCGTGGCCTCGGCAGGACTGTGGGCAGGCCACCCACCCGTGGTCTCGCCAAGCGGACTAGTGTGCTGTGGGCTCCCTCACCGCGTGGAAGCCGGGTTCAAGGAGTGAATCTCCAGGGACGGCAAGACGAGAGTCATTTTTATGACTTAACCTCGGAGGTCCCAGAGCCCCATACACAAAGCTCCACCCAGGTTCAAGGGAGAGGGACACAGACTCCGGCTCTGGGGGGGAGGAACGTCAAGGTCACATTGAAGGACGAGCAAGGGGGATGGGAGGGACCATTGCCGCCCCCTTTGGAAAAACAGGGCGAGGCAGAAGCAGGTTCACAGTTGTGAGCACACGGAGCACAGCGTGTGTTCGGTGTTGTTCTTTATTCGTGACGGGACTATTTTCCACACGAACAGCTGCAGCCTCCTCCGCCCCACCCTGTCTAAGCCGCCACCGGGCGCTCTCTGGGCGAGCCCAGCCCCTCTCTCCGCGTGGCCAGGAGGCCCCGTGGATGCCCCCGCCTCACGGATTTCTGCACATGCTGCCCCTTCTGACCACAGATTGCTTCCACCCTCCCTCCCCACCCTGACCCCCTTCCCCTGGCCGACCTCTACTCACCTTCCAGGGTTCAGCAGAGACATCCTCTCCCAGGAAACCCGTTGTGACCTCTGACCCACCCCAGCAGAGTTGGGGCCCCTCTGGGCCACATTTGCCCCTCTGGGTACAGAGCCCTCCCCTGCTCACTGGTCTCCAACAGACCTCGAGCCCCCTCCTAGGCATGCTGTCTGTCTACCATTGCATCCCCAGCACTAGGCCAGTGGACATCCGGCAGCCACTTCCCCCAGGAAGCCTCCCCAGATTGCCCCAGACAGTGCCAGGTGTCTCTCTGCCTCTCCCGCAGCCCCCCTGAGCAGGTGTTTGGAAATGCCTGGATGACAGAAAAGGTCCCCTCCCCCTGTTCCCAAGCCAGAGCTTGTTACTGCAGTAAAAGCAACAAATTACCAGGCGGGCTGGGAGCTGTAATGATTAAAACAAGGGCATTGTTCTCGGGCTGCTAATTGCATACCTGAGGGATGAGGTCTGCTCAGCCCCAGTGCCAGGCCCGGCCTGGCAGGGAGCACAGAGGTGACAGGGACAGGAAAGGGGTGTCCCAGGAGCAGTGTGTCCGAAAAGGGGGACCCCACCCACCTCTCCTGGGGTCCTCTTGAAAGTGCAGATTCCTAGGCCTTGCCCCAGAACCACCAAATGTGCACGGGATGGGGGGAAGGGCTGAGGGCCCAGGAACGTGTATTCATCACAAGTGCCCCAGGTGATTCTGAGGGCTGGTCCGGTCTGGGGCTTCCAGCCTGCCCCACCCCAAAGCCAGACAGAACCCCACCCTCACCTGGCCCAGCTCACCTGGGGAAGGTGGCAAGATTCAGAAAGTGACCTGGAGGAGAGGACAAGGGGAGGGAAGGTTTCCTGGGAACTTGGGTCAAACGGTCCTCGAGAGTGAGCCGAGGGCCCCACACCTAGCTACTCACCTGGCGGAGCACAGGGTGATTTACCAACGGGAGGCAGAGGGAGCTTAAGCCTCAAGACCCCCTCTAAGGCCTGGGAGGGGCCCTAGCAATGGACTCACTTGTTCCTGTGCTTTGTACAATTTGCAAAAGTTAAGATATTTTGTATTGCTTTACTTAGAGTCCCACCACCCCAAATTATGTATTTCAGGCCCCCTGAAAAGCGGAGACAGTGATCCCAGCCGTGGGAACGAAACAAGCAAATGGGAGTAACTGCCAGCCCACTGCTGACTACCCCCCATGGAGACGGCCCAGCCAGCAATTGGCTCAGCCTCTTCACACCTCCATCTTCTCATCTGTGAAATGAGCCTGTGACCGCAGCTGCGCCGTCATGTTCTGCGAGCACCCGTGAACGAACCCGGGAGGGCACCCAGCTGGGGCTGAGCCCAGGGCATGTGCTCAGTCCGCACTGGCAGGGGCGCTCAGCTCCCGAGCCCAGGGCATGTGCTCAGTCTGTGCTGTGCAAGGGCGCTCAGCTCCCGAGCCCAGGGCATGTGCTCAGTCCGTGCTGCACAAGGGCACTCAGCTCCTGTCGATGCACCGCTGAGCGAGCCAGGGCGCGAGCGGACGCCGGGTCGGCTGGGGCCGCCCAGCCAGCGAGGACTGCATGATGACTGGTGCTTTTGAAGCCCTGCTCCCCGGAAATGCAGGCAGAAGATAAGGCCCACTTTCGCCAAGCCAGTTTCAAGATGCCCGGCCAAGAGGCCAGGGAGGGGACCCACTGAAGCAGATTCGCTGTCATTCTGGGACAGGAGTGATAGGAAGGGCCTCCACCTCGCAGCAGCGATTTCTAGGCGGGAAGGGGCAGGTACCCACAGCAGAGGATGCTGGAAGTTTCGGGGGAGAGCAGAGCTTGGGACAGGGGTTTGGTCCAGTCCAGCCTCCTCCTTTACGGCCTGTGCCACAGGCCACTGTGAGTTACGACAGAGCCGGAGGCCAGGATCCAGGAAAGGCCGGGTGACCACTT